GCATGTGCAGCAGTCAACAGTCAATGTGCAATTATGCATGTGCAAACTGAGAATGTAAACAGTACAGGTTGACAGCACATGACATATTCCTGGTAGTAAACTCCTCAGCTGTTTAGGAGTCTGATGGCAGAGGGAAAGAAAGAGTTTTTCAGTCTGGAGGTCCTGCATTGTGAACCTCCTGCCAGAGGGTAGGGAGGCAAACAGTCTCCCAGTGCTAGGGGTGGGTGGGGTCTTTGAGGCTATAAAGAGGCCACTGAGTGCTGTGATGGGCTTGTTATAGTCTGGATAGGGAGGATGGAATTGACTTTCTCTAACAATGTCCATGACTTTAATTACAGTACAAGAGTCTATGTGCTCACAGATGAGACAAACCTCATCAGCCTCCTCAGGAAGTACAGCCGCCATTGGGCCTTCTTGACCAGCTGTGTGGTGTTAAGTGTCCAAGTGAGGTCCTCACTGATGTGGACACCCAGGTATTTGAAGGCTGAGGGAGAGGTTGAAGATGGTGGTGAGAACATCAGCCAGCTCGCTGGCACATGCCCTGAGAGCCCTCCCAGGGATGTTGTCCGGTCCTGCTGCTTTGCGGAGGAAGGTGGGGAGTTGGGTGGTCCAGCTGTGGAGCTGATGATGCTGGTGGTGGTCCTGTAGTCTGTGATGTGCTGCAGGCCTTGCCACATCCATGCGGAGTCAGCAGTAGAATAGAAGCCATTCAGCTTCTCTCTGTACTGCCTCTTGGCCGCTGTGATGGCTTTCCTCAGTCTGTACTTTGCAGTTTTGTACTCCATCTCATCGCCTGATCTGAATGCATGAGAGCGAGCACGCAGCATGTGCCGTACCTGTCTCTTTATCCAGGGCTTCTGGTTGGGGAACCTCCTGACTTGTATGGTGGGCACAATGTTGTTAACACAGGTACTAATGTATCTGGTCACATACTCAGGATAGTCCTCTGAGGTGGCTGCAACTTTAAACACATCCCAGTCTGTCTGGGCGAAACAGTCCTGCAGGGTGCCTTCAGTCTTTGGGGTCCAGAATTTATTTTGCTTGGTGACAGGGTTTGTTTGTTTGTTTTAGTCTTTGTCTGTAAGCTGGATACAGGAACAAAGAAATGTGGTCAGAGCGTCCGAGTGGGTGGCGGGGTGCAGCCCTGTATGCACCACGTATGTTACTGTAAACATGATCCAGAGTGTTCTTGCCCCAGGTGGGAATGTTCACATGTTTGTAATATTTGGGAACTACAGTCGGTAGATTGCACTGGTTGAAGTACGATAAAAACAGCATCAGGGTGAGCTGTCTCTAGCACGCAGATGATGTCGTGTAGTTTGCTAAGAGCCGCAGAGGGATTAGCTCTTGTGGAGCCAAGTCAAATTAGAGCACAGCATTCTCTGATTTCC